AATCTTGGAAGCTCATTTTCCTTTGGATATGTCCATAGCTGTAGTTTCTAGTTTTTTTTTTTTTTTTTTTAATTTTTGCAGTGTTTCCTCCCCTTCTCTCCCACCTCTGGTAACCAACAAAGAAAGTCTTCTTGAAGAAGACAAAAACTTTTAAATATGGGAAAATATAAGGATGAATTTACAAAATATGCAGTGCAAAATCTATTTGAAAATATTCTGAGTATCATAGCCATTGTATCAAATTGAATGCCATCCTATTTGAGTAATTCACAAAAAGAAGAGGAAACAGTATTTCAAGATAGAAAGGTACTGAATATATTATTTGTCTCCGTGTATATAACTAGAGCCATAAATGAAATAAGGACATTTAAAGTGGTCTATTAATGGACCTTTTAAAATGCAGTGCCTTGGTACTGCTGTTCCATGCAAATAAATTAAAAAATTGGATGATTACATCCTTAGAAGTACATAGTTTTATAGCAGTTGCAGCCATTTCACCTTTAAGGTAAATTTCCTTAAATTGCTGAGAATAATTTGTGTAACTTTAAAATTCACAGATATTTGAAACAGGGCTTTCTAACTGGTTTATTCCTGTTCAACCCCATGCTGAGAAGTTGCCCACCCCGCCCAGATATACAGAATCAGTATCTAGAGTGTAACAAGATACCCAGGTGATTCTTATGTATATATAAGAATATATCTGGAGATCAGTAAGAATCATCTGGGGATCTATAAGAATCAGTTGGGGAATCTATAAAAATGTAGATTCTGATCCAGTATATCTGGGGTGGAAATGCAAATTCTCAGCAGGGGTCATAGTGGAATGAACCTGGTTGGAAGCTGTGGTCTGAAGTGCCTGATTCTACTGTTTTTTTGTTTTTTTTAAAACAAAGAAAAGCCCACTGCTACTTAGTAGCTAACACTTAGACACTTATAACTTGCTGCATATTAGAAGCACCCAAGAAGCTTTGGAAACTACTCATGTTGCAGCCTTACCGCCCCAAACCTGCAGATCTTGATTTGATTGGTCCATTTCAGTGCTTCACACAATTTAGCCAGCTTCAGAATTACCTCGAAGGCTTGTTAAAACACAGTGCTGGTCCCACTCCCAGAGGTTTTGTTTCTGTAGGTCCAGGGTGGAACTCCAAAGTTTGTATTTCTAACAAGTTCCCAAGTGATTCTGATGCTGTTGGTCCAGACACCACTCTTTAATAATCACTGCTGTAGGTTTTTAAGCTGGGAGCTCTGGTAGCATAGTGGCTAAGGCACTTGACTGCTAACCAGAAGGCTGGAGGTTCAAACCCACCACCACTCATTGGAAGGAAGATGGGACAATCTACTTCCTCAGAAAGTAGTGATACTGCCTCAGAAACCAGTGGAGGGGTCGCTAGGAGTCGGGGCTGACTCGATGGCACATAACAACAACAGGTTTTTAAGCTTTTCAAGTGGTTCTAGTAACAGTCAGGGTAGAGAACTGCTTACATTGTAGTGTTTGCCCTGATAAAGTAAGCTGGGATTTCTCAAGCTTTTGGACCAACCTGTATTGAAATTATAGACTGTCAAAAAGTACAAAGACATTACCCTTCGTTGGTCTTATGAGGTATTATTCCTTCTCCATTAAAGTGGCAAACATTATTAATGAGTAACATTAATGGCCTTTTTAAAAAATGATTGTGGTAAAATATATATAACAAAAAATTTGTCATTTAAATGTTTTTCAAAGGTACAATTCAGTGACATTAGTTACATTCACCATATTGTGCTACTTTCATTTCCGAAAATTTTATATTATCCCAAAAGGAAATAAGTACCCCTTCAGCAGTAACTCCAGTTCCTTCCTCCACCAACTCCTAGTAACCACTAATAAACTTTCGTTTTTATGCATTTTCCCAATCTAAATATTTCAGGTAACAGATTATACAGTATTTACCCTTTTGTAACTGACTTACTGGACACACCATAATGTTTTAAAAGTTCATCCTTGTCATAGCATCTATCTGAATTTCCTTTCTCTTTATGGAATAATATTCCATTGCATGTATATGTCACATTTTGCCTTACTCATTTATTTATTAACGGACACTTGAGTTTTTCCTGCATTTTTTCTGTTGTGAATAATGGTTCAGTGACTGTTCATGTCCATGTATCAGTTTGAGTCTCAGCTTTCAAGTCTGTTGGCTGTATACCTAGGAATGGGATCATTGGTTCATGTAATTCTTTGTTTAACTTTTTGAGGAACTGCCAACTTGTTTTCCACAGCGGCTGCAACTTACTACATTCCCACCAACAATGGATGAAGGTTCCAGTTTTTCTACATCCTCCTCAGTACTTATTATTATCAGTTTTTCTCATCATAACCATCCTAGTGGGTGTGAAGTACATTAATGGCCTTTCAGTCCTGAAAAGAATACAAATACAACTGTGTGAAGGGTTGTGAATTGTGTAATTTTCATGGGATTCAGAAATGAGACTGAAATGCTACGGAAATCACAGCAGCTCATCTGTCTTCCGCCAAGTCGGACTGGAGGACATATTATGGATCATTTGGGCTAAAAGGGTTAAATGACACACTTATATCAGTGGGGAAAGAGATGAAAAGAATGTGCGTTATAATCAATACTACAGTTGAATGCAGAGTTGTAGCGAAGAGCCCTGGTGTAGGAATCCCTGCAAATACCCTGCTGGCTCAGTTGTCACCAAATACTGTAACCATGTTTCAGATAGCTGAAGAGAATACAGGTTTGACTTTTAATTTAATTATTTCAGCAATTTTGTTCTGATAAAAAATCAGAAAACTTTTAACATTTTTGCTTGGACAGATGTTTTTAGGAACCTTACTGATCCCATTTCTAAAAGGAAAACATTGGACCAGATCTCAAGGATCCTTTTAAATATTCAAATGATGGGATGAATAAATTTTTAAAAATTTTAAAATATGTACAACTGATGTTAGTCTTCAAGTCCAAATGAAAAAGCAAGACCACCTCTTCTTCTGACCAGGCTGGCCTTTTCCTGTCCTTACTTTTCATGTGTCCCACAGACAGGTGGGAGGAATTGCAAGAACCAACTGTGTAGTGTTCAGGGCAGCATCTCAGAGGAGACACAGGGTCAGCCCTCCATCTAGGACTCTGGGTAAGGTAACTGAGGTCATCATCATCTCATCTGGCAAACTAAATGGATGTGAGTGGTTTGTGAATCCGATACAAGTTTTTTCATTTCTTCACAATGTTTACATTCCAATTGGCCATGCTACGTAACAGAAGGAGTTTTATATTTTGCTTTAAAATATTGGTTGCTTTTTTTTTGTATGATATAATAAGCCTTAATAATTAATGGTGCCTTTCAGAATTTGCTCACTTTTCTGGAGGTAACCAGTTGTAATGGCTGGGAATAAAGGAAGAGGACGTGCAGCTTATACCTTTAATATTGAAGCAGTTGGATTTACCAGAGGTGAAAAGTTACCTGATGTAGTATTGAAGCCTCCCCCAATATTTCCTGTAAGTACATTGATAGCCAAATTCTCAAGGTATGTTTTTCACTTTTCAGAGATTATTAAAATTCTGTATCCAAAAACCACACTAACCGCTGTTGACTCAGTCCTTACTCATAGTGACCTCTCTTTGGGTTTCCAAGGCAGTCTCTATGGAAGTAGATTATTTAGTCTTTCTTTCAAAGGGTGGCTGGTGGGTTTGAACCACTAGCCTCCTGGTTATCAGTCAAATGCCTTAGGCAATACACTACATATGATATCACTATGATAACTTAAAGCATAAGAAAGTAAAATAAATCCTAAGTTTTACTTAGTGTTAATTTAAATATTTCAACCGTTCTTCCCTGATTTTTTCTAATTTCTGTTTTCTTAAAAATACAGAAAGGAAAACAATATACATTATCCCATGAATATACTTAGTACTATGTGTACCAAGAAAAAATTACCCTGTAGGACAGAGTAGAAATGCCCCATAGGGTTTTCAAGGCTTCAATCTTTATGGAGGCAAGTTGACACAACTTTTTCTTCATAGAGCAGATAGGTGATGGGTTTGAATGTTTTGGTTATTAGTTGAGCACTTAACCACTGTGCCAGCAGGGCTCCTTTTTTGTATCTTCTGCTGCTGTTTGATATCATCCAATCTCAAAACAATGTTTTAAAATCAAGTTGTGTTTTAACAGTGGTTTTCATCTCTCACCCTACATATTTTTGCTTAATGATTTTACCATCATATCATATTTATTGAGTTAATTTTACCCTTTTGTATACCAGTTGGCTTTTCTTCCTGTGAAACTTTTGTCTATATTTTGCTTATTTCCCTGTTTTATCAAGTTGACTTTCAATTTTAATGCTATTTCTCTAAATATAATCATTGTTACATATTGCTTTTAGAGTATGCTTGAACCTTAATTGGTGTAATTAATTAATGTTTAATGCTTTTGCTTTATATTTAGTTTAAAAGGCAAGTTTACATTTCCAGATGTGTATGTGCTATGCTCCACCGTATGTTTGTCAGTTTGTTGAACTGTGGTGGCTTGCATGTTGATGTGAAGCTGGAGACCATGCCACCAATATTTGAAATACCAGCAGGGCCACCCATGGTGGACAGGTTTCAGCAGAGCTTTCAGACTAAAACAGACTCAGGAGAAGGAAGGGGCCATCCATTTCTCAAAGAACTGGCAAGTGAAAACCTTATGAATAACAATGAAACAATATCTGATATATTACTAGAAACTTTTATGAGTAGCCCTGAAACATTGTCCGAAACAGTGCTGGGAGATGAGTCCCTCAGGTTGGAAGGCACTCAGAATACAACTGGAGAACAGCTGCCTCCTCAGAGGAGAGCCAACCTTAATGAGTGTAAAGCTGCCGGGGCCTCCATTTGCTGATATGGCATGACTCAATATGAGAAGATACACCTGCAAACATTCATTAATAATTGAAATGTGGAATATACCAAGTATGTACAAATGTACAATTGTATAAATGTACAATTTTCCAATCTAGGAAAATTGGAAGCTGTCAAAAGTGAAATGGAACGCATAAAGATTGCTATCCTAGTCATTAGTGCAGAAAGGGCAAGGAGGCCACATGTTCCAACCTCCTCTAACTCTACAAGAGGAAGACAGGATTATCAGCAGTAACCCAAGGCCTATTCCTGCCAGGCCAGACATACTGCCTCCCTCCAGTCCTTTCACCAACCGTTCTTCCCAAAGCATCCACCACCTCTCTCCTGGGTTCGATAATTCGCTGCAGTGGCCACACAGAGCTCACAGATTATGGGGTTTATTAGGGAAGCACCACAGGCTACAATTCAAATTCAAGAAAAATGCTCAGTCTCTCTCCCAGCCCACCGTCCTTCAGCCAGCAGTCTCTCACAGTCTCTTTCCCAGCAGTGCTGGTCCCTCAGTGTCGCACTCAGCAATGCGTGTCTCTTGCGTCTCTTTCCCAGCAGCACGTGTCTCAGGAGCCCTTGTCTCTTTCAGCACACGTCTTCCTCAACCAGCAGTCAGAGAGAGAGTTCTGCCTCTAGGAGGCCTCCTTTTGAGCCCAGCAGGGTGGTCAACTAGCCAATTATAGCATCAGAACTCTAAGCACCTGAGAGAGAGTGGGCATCTCCCAGAACATTGTTTTGTGCCACTCCCAACAGAAATACTCCAGGTGGACACCTTCAGCAATCAGGAGCTCCTCAGTTGCTCATAGCAAATCCCACCTTGGAGTTTACAAAGACTTATGGGTAGAAAAGCCACACAAAGTAATTTACTACACTGCAATTAATGAGCTGAAATAGACCAGTTTTGGCCATTTTGAATCACAACCATGTAGTCTCCTGTGCTGGGAATTACAAATTGAAGAGAAGTGGCTTGGCATTCTTCATCACAATGTTTCGAGATCTATCCTGAAGTACAATACTGTCAGTGATAAGATAATATCCATACGCCAACAAGGGAGACCAGTTAATACTACTACTATTCAAATTTATACACTAACCACCAAAACCAAAGATGAGGAGATTAAAGATTTTTTACCAACTTCTGCAGTCTGAAATTGAGCAAATGTGCAGTCAGGATGTGTTGATTATCACTGATGATTGGAATGCAAAAGTTGGAAACAAAAATCATTGGTAGTTGGAAAATATGACCTTGGTGATAGAAATAACACTGAGGATTATGTGACAGAATTTTGCAGGACCAGCGACTTATTCATGGCAAATACCTTTTGTCAGTAACACAAGCAGTGGCTATACATGTGGGCTTTGCCACATGTAGTACACAGGAATCAGATTGACTACATCTGTGGCAAGAGGCAATGGAGAAGCTCAATATCTTTGGCCAAAAGAAGGCCAGGAGCTGACTGTGGAACAGACGATCAACTGCTTATTTGCAATTCCAAGCTGACACTGAAGACAATTAAAAAAAGTCCATGAGAGCCAAAATATAACCTTGATTGTATCCCTCCTGAAGTTAAGAGACCATCTAAAGAATAGATCTGACGCATTGAACACCAGTGACCGTAAACCAGAGGAATTGTGGGATGAAATCAAGAACATCATCCATAAAGAAAGAAAAAGGTCATTAAAAAGACAGGAAAGGAAGAAAAGACCAAAATGTATATCAGAAGAGACTCTGAAACTTGCCCTTGAGCAGAGAGTGGCTAAACCAAATGGAAAAAATAACAAGATAAAAGAACTGAACAGAAGATTTCAAAGAGCAGTGAGAGAAGATGAAGTCAATTATTATAATGAAATGTGCAGAGATCTGGAGTTAGATAACTGAAAGGGAAGAACACACTTGGCATTTCTCAAGCTGAAAGAACTAAGGAAAAAATATGAGCCTCAAGTTGCAATATTAAAAGATTCTGTGGGCAAAGTACTGAGTGATGCAGAAAACATCAAATGAAGATGGAAGGAATACACAGAGTCGCTATACCAAAAAGAATTGGTCGATGTTCATTCATTTTGGAAGGTGGCATATGATCAAGAACCAATGGTATTGAAGGGAGACATCAAAGCTGCACTGAAGGAATTGGCATAAAACAAGGCTCCAGGAATTGATGGAATACCCATTAATATGTTTTGACAAATAGATGCTGCACTGGAGGCACTCAATCATCTATGCCAAGAGATTTGGAAGACAGCTACCTGGCCAACTGACTGGAAGAGATCCATATTTGTACCCATTCCAAAGAAATGTGATCC